AATATGATTAGTATGAATTATAAATAATATAGAATGAGATAATATAAAAATAGAATGAAATAATATAAATATAGAATGAAATAATATGAAAATAGAATGAAATAGAATGATAATATAATAAAAATAGAATGAAATATTATAAAAATAGTATGAAATAAATACAGATAATATAAAATAAATATGAATATGATTTATAAATCAATTATCCAATGAAAATTAACTATGAAAAATCATGTAATATGCTAAAATTCATATCACAACAGTATAAAAAATAGTATAAATAATATTAATTAAATAATATTAGTATATTGATGTTGATAATTTTTATAAAATATTATTTTTTTATAAGTTATTATTTGATTTTGTAATAATCTTTTGTCACCAATAAAGAAATAATATTGTCTTGTATTTAGATTTAGTATTAATTAGAGAAAAGAAAAGAAAGAAAGACTTGCTTGAATTTTTTTTATTTGATTAATAATATATTAGTTAACTTGTTAGAAGAATTAATACTAGTGCTGGTTATTAACTTGCTAGTGCTGGCTGTTAACTTGCTAGAAGGATTAATACTAGTGCTGGCTGTTGACTTGCTAGAAAAGTTCAACCATATCAGTTTTGAAAGTTGACAGTACAGTCAAATACACACACTAAAAATGTTCTCTATAAATGCACAAACTCTTTAAATGCACTTTCAGATTTGATTTTCATGTCTCTCGGCGATGTGCATATAGAGAGAGTTGACTATTTGATAATTCAATATCGAACATACAATGTAAATACGTAGTAAACAAGGTATATATCTATACCTTCTTAAATTTAAATCTTTAATTGATTTAAATGCTACCATAACTAACGAGTGGCTTCATATTAGATGTCAATGACATATTCCAGCTTTGACATTTTGGACAACCCTTAGTGGAAACTCCATTTTGATGAACGTAATATTGAATATTTAATCTCAAATGTCAAGCACCTCCAACAGGCTATATCATCAGCAGTTGAGAATGAAAGTAATGAGCTCTTATGGAAAGGATACATCGACCTTCACTGTGAATGTTATCTACTAATGTGTTTCTGTGGAAAGTGACATCGGACCTCACTATTGGTTATGTACAGAAGTTGCTAAAGAAACCTGGATTCCTTAGAATGTTTTGCAGAAGAATTTTGCGAAGTGCCTCAAACTCGATAGATCCTCACGTTTGGCTAAAAAAGTGCAAATCTTTATGATGTTATCATGACATTTTTCCTTCTATCTTCTTTCTAGATCTTCCAATAGATCTTTTTTACATCTGAGTTTGCAAAACAATTGCACTGGCAAATTGGTAACGGTTAATTAAAGATGCTGGGCAGTATAGAACGCAATTTGTTATGGCGGCACAAAACAACTTCGTATATATGGCACCGAATTTGATAAAGGATAGAATGGATGAGTTATTCCGTCAATGTAGAGAGAAATTTGGGAAGACAGACTTGCAGTTGGAGGAAGCTATTAAATATGGGGCATGTTTTCTTGGAAACGGAAGAGTAGCGAGATTGCTTTTGAGCATCTCTTAGCAAGATTCACTGTGGTACCACTCTACACAGAAATGAAAACACGAGATGTGTATTTACAGTGTCTGCGTGAAGCACAGTGGTATCAAGACTCGGTCAAACCTAGCGCACTTGCAGGCTTTATATTTGAGTGCATATACATGACGTCTTATAATATGTTAGATATTAGAAATTAATAATAGCTATAAATTCTATATGAAATGATAATATATCTTTTTGCAATTAAAATCAGCATGAAATTAAAAATCAAAAGTCTAACTTGCTATACCCCATTATTTTTTAATAATCTTTTTCTGGCCCTCTTGCTGGCTGGGGAATTATCAACGCTCATCCGATCCTTTAACAACTCAACAATGATTAAAATTACTTTATTCACACTACTTCGGTGTGCATCAGGATTTTCTTTGATCGCAGTTTTCGAGAGATTAATCTGGTATTTGCTATCATTTGTACAGTAAAGCCCTTTCTCTCTCTCTCTATCTGTGGAAAGGAGGAAATATTAGTTAGGTATTAATATTTGGAAATTGATTAAAAATTCTAAGAAAAATTTTCACATACCTGTTGATACTATAAAGGTGATCGCCACAATGTGTAACACTGTACGCCACTTTAAATCGCCACTTAAACGTTAACGATAATGTTTTATATTCGTAGAATCCGAAACTTTGAGACTCGAGGATCCTTATAACAGTACCTTCGCAAGTAATTCTGTTGCGCATCAGCAACATTTACAGCTTGGTGGAACTATCCAGCTGCAAGCACCATTTGGTGAAGGTTCCCGACTACGACCACGAGAAAGAATTAGCCATGTTCCTGGTTGAGGAAGTTCTGTCACGTCTTCTCGCCAACATCCAACATGTAACTAATGGTGTTGGGCGAAATATCACTACCACGGGAGCATCATTACAACGTTCAATTACACTCTTGGATAATCTTAACCAAAACGAATTGCAAGTTAACACTGTAGATGTAAACGCCCCTCTAATTCCTGAATTCCGCCGAGAAACAGCTTTTGTAGCTGTTGGCATGACTGTGGCTCAAGAGGAAGCATTTATAGAACAAGATTATGATAGCGATAAAACCGTTCTCACAAGTTTCTATAATGTTTTGGATTTTGTTACTGTGCTGTTCTTTTAATATAAACTTTAAGGAAGGGAAGGGCTAGCATAATATGGAAGATTGATTTGGAGGATTTGTTTGTAAATCAATAGCAACCCTAACGACTTTATATTATTTTTCAATCGTCAATGTGTTTCTGGCTATAACTCAAATTATTTTCATCGAAGCTTTGAAAGAATTTGATACCGATCAATTTGAACGATTGGATTAGAGAGAGGTCGAGACAAATAGACAACCGAATATATACATCATGCGAAAGCAAGAATAAACGGACTGCTATATAAATTATGACTTAATTTGTTTGCATACCAAGATTTCAGAAAATATTATTCATATCGAAAATACCGAATCACAATATAATATAATATCGAATTAGGTTGATCATTGGAATCGGACATTTTATTGATTGAAAGCTTACGGAACTGAACAACGAATATTTTTAGCAATAATATGAATATACAAACGATGTTCTCATTTATATTATCATATAAACAGAATATTACTATCTTGCGGAAGACGACTGAAGCATATCAAACATCAATACACACTTCTTTGCAAGTATCTGAAATATGCGATGGAAATGACTCAAAAATTAAGTTGATCATATCTGGAAAATACCACGGAAACCATAATTCTATTGAATTGCACACGTAAATTGGTTGCTTTGAAGCAGATCAATCAATATATTTATTGCCAAACAACCGGCGCTACACGAACCTACTTATGAGACGCGACGAAGTAGCTGCAGAAACGATGAAGGTAATCTTTCATCAAACGAAGCGACACTAATAGAAACGAGGGACATTTATTTGACATGTACGACTAGGAACAAGTAGTCCTCTCATTTTTATACCTCAGATAACGATTCACGATTGATCTTGCATGTATATAATTATTGATAATAAACACTTGGTAGTGATTCAGGTCTTCAAGTGAATAGCGAATGTAGTTTACAAAGAAATCGATTACGTCAAGTGCAAGTTATTTTATATATACACTTGATAATGATTGAGATTAAAATATCTATTGCGCTATTCTGAACAAGTTTACTTAATACAATTTGTCAAGGTAACTTGATGTAATTATCCAAAATTTTCTTAAACTAATAAAGAGTAACTTTTTTGAATGCCGTATGATGAGAAAACAAAGGATCTTTATGAAATTTAGCAATAAGTTCTTTGTAATTTAGTAAAAAAGTTAAGAATATTTTGCAGATTATCATAAACTTCAAAATTTATTAAAAAGTAAATTAGTAGACTTCAATTTTCCTTTCTGACTTTTATTTATTGTATTATTAATAAAAACATTATTCCGAGGACTTTTTTGAATTGTCATTGTTTTCTCGTCCAGCTAGCATTCTTTTCAGAATCTCCCGAATATACTTAAGCCGACTGACAATCACCGGATACTGACCGCTAAATATCTCATTGTTAACGTGTAGAGTTTTCATTTCTTGATCACTGTTTATCCAGGTGACGACTCGTCCGTCATCTGATAATAGGAATTTATGGTGATCGTAGAAATTGACCTGTATTATTGTTAACAATAATCTCGTAATAAGTAAGTTGATTTTCAAAATAAAACTTATCTCATAATTAATAATCGACTGACCTGAACCACTCGATTACTCAACCGAAACAGTATCCCATGCGCCGTCTTTGTATATTTTGTTAAGAAAATCATACCGTCCGTACGGTTTTTGTCGACACAAGAGTACGGGTACGACTTGAACATTGGTTTTGCCAGCGCCGATTTGAAATTGTTCAGCAAACCCACTTTTTTTGCTAATGAGCTTGGATAGTCTTTCAATGTGTGTAGAGAACGTTTGAGTCGCGTGGAGATGAATTCAAAGTGTCTGTACAATGTAAAGAAAAAAATCCAGAATTAAATGATGAAAATTTTTGAATAGTCCGGTTGTTGTTAGTAGCTTCAAAATAGATTAAATACACACAATTCATCAGGCGAGAGTACAAGCGTTGATTTGTCGTTTAGGTACATGCCGACTGAGCCATCTGTGAGTTCGTATCCAATACCAAATTTGGTGGAGTAGTCTATCCATTTTGTTATGAATACGGCGGGTGGTGCGGGCGCTATTTTCAACAAATTTTTTCGAATACAAACAAATTATTTTACATCTTTTTATGGATACATTATTTATTATCTTTATATACCTTCTGATGACGACAACGGCGAAGGAATTTGAAATTTTTCTAATTTACTTTCGGCAAAGGCTCTCTCTATTGTATCGTATGCTGCACCAATGGCCGAATGTTGATGAGTTTTGAAGGCTTTATAATTGATGTGATTAATAAATATTAACAGATAATAACATATTGTCAAGATAAAAAATGAAAGAATTCACTTACGAGACTCATTGATATTATTGCTGGTGGTGGTGGTGGTCGTAGTCTTTGATAATGATGAAATGGAAGGAAGATTAAATCGGACTGTTGGTTTTATTGGTTCTGTAGTGTTGGTAATGAAAATGTCTTTTGATTCAATTGCATTATTTTTATTTGTGATCGATGGTTTTAAGAGTTGCAATGAATCTTTTGGTCCAGTTGTCGTCGGTATTTGCTTGTTTCGGTTGTCTTGTAATACAACCAGCGGGCGACGAGTCGGTATTTGACCGAAATCCGGTTTTATTCGTAGTGCAGATGTTGGTAGTTTTTTTGTGATTGATGGTTTTAAGAGTTGCAATGAATCTTTTGGTCCAGTTGTCGTCTGTACTTGCTTGTTTCGGTTGTCTTGTAATACAACCAGCGGGTGACGAGTCGGTATTTGATCGAAATCCGGTCTTATTCGTAGTGCAGACGTTGGTAGTCTTGTTGGCGTGAAGCCTTTGAAGAAGGAATGGTTTAGCACTTGGTCTATGTTGGGCCGATGCTCTTTATAATTGATTTTTTTAGTGTTAATATATATATATGGAATCCTATTAAAATTAGTAACTTTGTCGTTATACAGTCGTCCCCCTCTATAGTTACCTCCCCTCCCTAAAGTCACACTGTTCAGTATGTGACCATTAAATAAAAACCCTTATAGAAGCACACCTCCCTGGAATCACATCATTACTGGGTCCCGAAGGGTGTGACCAGAGGGGTCGACTGTAATTAGATTAATTACCTGGTTGTTGTGTCAGCATATAATTTATCAAGTCTTTAGCATCGGAAGATACACTAATGTTTGATGGAAAATCGTATTTGTGTTCCTTGATTTTTCTGATAATTGTAATTTTTTGTTATTCTGTGATTTTTGATAATCCTAGCTTTGCATATTAAAAGAGAATATATACCGGTATATGTCCTCTACGTTTCCTTTTGTTTGAAAAGGAGGTTTACCGAAAAGTAGAGTATATCTAAATAAAATTTTATTTGTTTTAAACAATATCCCCAATAATGGAATAAACGATAGATGAGGTAAGAACAGACACTTACACTATCACCCCAACCGACCATATATCCACCTCATAACTATGCCCAGTCTTATCGAACAACACCTCAGGCGCTATATAATTCGGGGTACCACAAATTGTCCTTTATTTTTATGGTTGAATAAAAAAATTCAGTCTCACAAAAAATATATAATCATTTCGTTCAAAATTAAACTAAACTTTACGACAAAAAGAATAAAACACCGACTTTTTCCGTTCAGACGCATCCTGAAGCTGCGTCGCCAATCCAAAATCACCAATCTTGACCTTCATATCTTCCGACAACAATAGATTTGCCAGTTTTAGATCTCGATGTATGACGCTTGCACGGTGCATGTACCTGCAGGCGTCTAGTATCTGACAGAGAAAGAATCGGACTTCGGGTTCTGTTAGACGTTTTCGGAATTTGTTCATTTCTAAGAGAGTCTGATTTTTGTCATCATTATGAAAAGAATTAATTAATTAACGGGTAAGCTGTTATTATTTATTGAAGCGTGTCTTACTTTATTGGGACAATGCTCTAATATTAGATATACAAAAGCGTCGTCTTCGAATGCTTCATGGAATCTTACAATGTTTGGGTGATCCATTAATTTGTGGATTTTGATTTCGGATAGAAGCTATTAAATGAAATTTCACATATTACGCGTGGATTACGTCAAATTTAATAAACCATACTACATAATTTATGAAAAGTATTGAAGAGAGAGATTCGTTTATTCATACCTTTGGCTTATTCTTTGGATTCTTTGAAAGCGACTCCTTCCAAACAACTTTTGCTGCATATAAATTCTCCTTCAAGTCAACCACCGCATAGCATTTGGCAAATCCACCCTATTTAGTTATCATAAACGATAAGTTAAATAAGTTAAAAAAATATCGAATTCGAAGACAGGTTCCCGTTTAAAAATTCTCCCAAAAATGTGTTAAATTACCTCACCAAGTAACCCGCGTCGCGTATACTCTTGCCGAGTTTTACGAGCTTTAATTTGAACAGGAGGTTCATTTGTATGGTGTGGTTGATTAGTTGTTGAATTTCTTATTCGATCTGTCATTATTCTGTGTTGGTAATGCAAAATTCTAAACTATGTGGACTATGTGGCAAAATTGTTTACATGTATTTTGTTTGTTTTTGTTTATTTTTTTTAGATCGTCAGTAAAATTAACGTATTTATTACGCGACTTTCGTCTAATTTTTGCGCAGTCAAAAATTATTTTCATGTGATTGCCCACTCTGGCTAACTCTAATAAAACAACTATTAAGAATATGATTAAAGCAAATACTAGTGAGCCCGCTTATTATCACCGAACCAAATGAATTTTCTAAATCTGCCAAGATTTAACGGAATACAAAGAAATATGTTCTTATTGACAACAGCATGGGCTGTTACAAAACCTCT